CGGGAGAGCCTGGATGATCTTCCCCTTCTCCGAGTTCCCAGGAGCTCAGATTCTGCTGGCTGAGCCCTCCACTCACAGCCGCTTTAAGGAGCTCATAAATAATAACTTAGAGGAGAAATGATTTAATATTACAAAACTTTTTCAAGATCAAGTCAAGGTGCCAGCATATTCAAAAACTGTCAGATATGTCAGGGCAGGTGCTTTGTGAGGGATGTGTTTTGTATCTTTGATGTAACAAACATACTGCAGTAAATTCTCAAACATGCACTTGCTACTGCCTTTTCCAAAGCCCTGCCATCAAGCCATCACCTTTAGATCAGTCAGGCTGAGTGAAGAGATGCAAAGAGATCTTTTGCTAGAAATGCTTTTCTAAAAAAATCTTTATTTTAGAAATTGCTTTTGGCAATGGCAGTGATGGGCAGCATGTTCCCCAGATTTGGGGAGACGGGAATGTGTATATTTCATAGCACAGCTGGATTTAAAACTTTTCATGTTAGCGTGTTCCTCTTTCGGAAATATTTGTGAGGCCTCACTTTTGTTATGGACCATTTTCTGCTGTGGGCTGAATAACCTATTCTTCAAAAAATCCCACAGATGAAAAACTGAAGCAGAGAGAATAAGTGGATTTCCTGTAGATATACATGAAGTCAGCAGAAGTGCAAGGAAATGAATAGTGCAAGGAGTGTCCTAACCACTGAACTGTCCTTGTCTCCCATGTGCAGTGCAGAATACACAGAATATTTATCTTTTAATGGATAGCCTTTTGGAATACATATCTTTTCAAAGGCTGATATTAGGTTAATGATGAATCTTACAAAATGAAGTAGGAAAGACATTAATTTTGATGTGGCAGGAAAGAGCTTTCCTAATGAGGTAGTAATTAAATAAGAAGGATAGATACTAAAAAAAAAAAAAATAAAAGAGAGAAATTTAGTGTTCTCTAGCTCTCCTACCTCAGCAGTTCTAGCAGTGGTTCTGGGTAAGGAAAAGGAATGTTTCTGTCAAGCATGAAGTACCACCAGAAAAATATAAAAGGAAAAATGTGTCATAAGAATCATAAAAATATTAAATAATGTCAAAAAATGAAATAAGTAATAAGAATGAAATAAGTTTCTAGAAGATAATAATAAAGACTGAGAAAAGGCACCCAGAAATCCAGATGACTTTTCTATTTTCTTAAGTGGGGTAATTATACTGAAACTGACAGCGAGTATTTCCCCAGAAGCAAAAAACACCCACAAACCCCAGCCAGCAAAAATTCTACTCTGAGCATGAGATCTGTGAAGGTTAAAGGCTTGAGTCTGCCATTAAGAGAGAGCTACTCTTCTCCCAAGGTCAATCCTTACACATGGAGAAGTAATTTTGATTCTGGTCTCCTCACTGTACAAAGTCAACGCTCTACCTTATTTTCAACAGTGCTATATTTGGCAAAGTACTAATATAATTGTGTTTGGTCCCAGTCATGTCCTGTTTGAATGTTAAACTGCTCTTATACCAAGCCGTTGTGTGCTCTCTTTTGTAGCTTAGGCGATGTATAAAACCGCAGAGCAGACCCGCTGGAGCAATCCCTCCAGGGAAACCTGTGCTGCCAGTGCCCACACTATGTGTGTTTTGGGGGTTTTACTTTGCACCAGCTTTTGTCTGGATCCCTACTGCCATGGGCTGAAAGCACTTTTTTGGGTATAGTTTCATCCAAAAAAGATGCAGTTTATGCAGTCCCAGGATGCACCATAGCGTGAGCCAAATACAGCACATGGGCACATAGAGACAACCTCCAACAAATCCCATTGAGCATCAGCCCACGTGTAAACCCTCACCTGCTGATGTCCCCTTGTTGCTTATCATGTTCCAGCCACCAGCCTCTCTGTGCATATTTCATTGCATCATACTGAGGACTTCTCCCTCAGTTAAGGCCCCTCAGTGGGACAGAAATAACCTGGCAATCTGATTCATGTCACCTGAACTGAAACCACCCACTATCTCCTTGCTAATAAGTACAGCATGCAGAGAGGAAAAATGTGATTGTACAACCTCAGAAAAGTGATTTTGCTGCCCAAGGATGTCTGCCTTTCTCATTAGGCAGTAATGGGTGCCTGAGAGAGACTTTAATAATAAGGCAAAGATGTGGTGGTACTTCCCCAGAATAATTTCTTAGCTTACAAAAAATTCACAACTCAAGGATTTGCTAAGCCAGAGGCTTTGTCTTTATATCTAATAGTCTATATGTCTCCTTCGTATGTGAATTATTTAGCTATTTTTTAGATTGATGTTAATTTTAGGATCTAGCGTTCTGCAGGAGAGAATTTGATATTGACTTCGTGCTGCACAGTTTATTAAGAAAAAAATGGGGATGTTAATAACAGGAGATCAGATACTGTCTGAGCCCCCATGCTGCTGCCTCTGTTCACATTAATCCTGGAATCAGGATTTCCTAAGTGCTTGTGGGGCAGGGTGACCGTACCGAAGTTAAGAGTGCCAGTGGCTGCAGAGCAAAGGCGCCCCAGCTGGGGCTCTGCGCCACTCTCTGTGGGTTTTGTGGTGTGACTGGGAAACTCTGCCCAAACCACAGGATGCGGAGTCAAATTGTACCTTCTCCGGCTTTTATCAAGACAGAAAGGCTTGACCCACAAGATGCTTAGGCATGATCATACTTCTGTGGGAACCAGAATGATGAATCAAGATTGTTCAGCTCTTGCAGGAACCAGCCAGAAAGAATTTTACCCTCCCCTCAAATCCTTGCATTCCAGGCCTGGGATTTTATCAGACTATATTTGTAATCCTAGTTGATTTCTCAAATAAACACTGAAATGCAAAGAGCTGGCCAGAGGGAAAACCTTCCAGTTACTGAGGAGGAAAATAACACAATATCCGAATGACTCATGGCTCTGTGGGTGAAGTCATGGCTGCGTGTCATAGCCTGGGATGTGGGTTTGTGGTCTGATGCCACATGGAGTGGATGCACTTAGGTTGTGACGTTAGTGTAAGTGGCTCTGGTAAGAACTCTCCTGTGATTTCCCAGAGACAAGTTGCTTGTAAAGATCCCACTGACTGCTCAGTGGCAATTAACAAGATAGGGAGGACACACCAGGACCAGGGGCAGCCAAACTCTCCTCTGGACACCAGCTGGGGCAAATACAACAAAACCCTTCTGCAGCTAGAAGAGGTAGGTCCTGCAGGAAGAGTTGGAGATGGCTGTGGCTGAAAAAACATTGGAGACAAAATTTCTGAGGGCTGGAAGGGAATCTGGAGAGGGACAGCATATCCCTGTGAGGTTTGGCTGGTGTCTGTGAAATTTTGCTTTCCTAGGGCAGGTTATCCAAAGACCTTCTGGATGATCATGCTCTGATGTTTGATGCCCTTCTCATTCATACCCACTGCTCTCATTGACTGCTGTCTGCTGTGGATACTCTCGGGTTTCTGACTCCATTGTTATTTTTTCCTCTGATCCACAGTTACAGTAAGACAAAACATGTAAATGCTAATGCAAGTGTAAGTACAAAGCCCTCTGCAGAGCCCCTTTGCTGCCTTACTTGCCACTAACCACTTGTACCTGCTGGAAATCAAACACTTCTAGGAAGTTGCCAGCAGTTATTCTCTGTCCTATATATGAACAACTTTGCGGATGTGACAAAAATACAGGTTGTTTTGCCTGGATCCTGAGTTCTGCCTCTCAGTCTCTCCATTCCAGGATTCCTTACCTCTCCCAGTCCTTTCCATCATTTCAGTCTCTGGCTGCTGCTCTGCAGCTGTGCAGTGCAGGAGCAGCTCGGAGGAGCTGCAGGTCAGGACTCTCCTCTGATGATACCTGCTGGAGGGGATGTGCTCACAGAGGTGGTGGTCAGTTCTTGGGGAGCCCTCACCACCCTGAACATGTGCACTGCCTGGGAGGTACTGCTTTTGCTCTGTGAGTTAGTGGAGGGAGGAATGAGCGTCCACTAAAGGACCAAATCAAATCTCTCTTTTAGGCAGGAGCTGTTGGGGAACAATTTTTTGTTTGGTCCCAGTCAATCTGCTTTCTACTGCAGAAATACGATGGGATATGGCTTGTAGCTTGGAAGACAGCAGCAGGGCTTTGCCTGAACCCAGATCTTGGCAGATCACTTGGCACCGGGAGACCAGCCAACCTTTTTCAGTTTTCTGGGACACTCTGTTTTGCCCATGTGATTAAAATTTGCAGTGTTAGATAAACACAGATAAGAATTTATCCATTTCTAATTTGAACAATCAGATGTTTATCCATCGTGGGAAGACCAAGGGAGCTTCTTTGTTTGTGGCTTTAGCTGTGCTGGGAGTCAGGAATCAGGGCTCATCCCACATTTGAAGAATCTTCTTTTTTTAGGCTGGGGCTGTTGCTTGGGAAATGGCTGTATTCTCCCTGCAGGCAGATCAATACATTTCAGCTCACTGCACTGCAAGTAACTTTTCATCGTACATTAAGAACGAGGAAAATAAAAGCCAAGATGGATGTTATTTTGGTTTTGCTTTTATTTTGAATTATTTATTAAGAAGTCACTGCTGTCTTCCTTCTCATCGGGAGACAAAATGCCTTTCTCTTTAATGATTTTTTCCTAGTAAAAAAGAGGCAAGGTCTTCCCAGTTTTATTTCCCTCGCTTCTTGGTTCTGAAGTGTAAATATGGGGTGTCCACAGCATGGCAAGATGATCTCCTGCAGTCCCAGTGCAGGCAAAGTCCCCACTGATGCTGGAGGAGTCACACCTCATGGTACTTTTCTGACCAGTTTTGTAATGATATAGCAGCTGAGTTATGTGTGCTAGGAGTAATTGCTGGCATGTAAGCAGAGGGTTATAAGTAAACCACAGAATAGCCAAACTATAATTTCAATTATTTATTAAATAGCTAATAGAAATACTAATCTTTTTCAAGTGAATTTTTAATAAAATGTGTTATGGGGCAAAAATTCTACCATTGGCTCCACTATTAATATGAATTTCTATACTCCAACTAATAATCTGTTTTGATGTTTTTATTCCTAAATCTAGGTTATTCTGAAGGGGAAGATAAAGAAACTGGCCACCAAGATGGTAATCACTAGTGGAAATGAAGAAGATAAAGGCAGTCAAGAAAAGGAAAGCAAAGAAGAAACCATCTTGGCAATGCTTGGAATTATTGGGACAATTCTGAACCTCATTGTGATCATTTTTGTGTATATTTATACAACGTTGTAAACTAGAAGGCATGCAAATAGACCAGATAAAACGGCCATTAAGAGTGACAACAAACATTGGTGACTATTGACAAATTCTTTAATCAGAATTGACTCTGTATTATATTATATTAACACATCATAAAAGCACTGCCTGAAGGCAGCGAAGACTGAAGCACAATTAATTTAACAGGACTTTTTCACACAGTAATAAGCTTAACTCTTCTCTCCTGCCCTCTCCCTTTCCGTTTGGTTTTCAGTTTGGGGGAGAATGACTGCAGTTATGTAAGTTGTAGCTTTGAAGAAATCCACCAGGGATATGTTGTTTTAACACAACAAAAATAAAAAAAAAAAAAAAGGAAAAGAAAAAAAAAAAAGGAAAAGAAACTGTACACTATATATAATTAGAAATGTATGCTGTATACCCACAAAGATTGAACTCAAAGATAGCTTCATAGCACAGATCACGTGTCTGTTAGGTCAAATGGTTTTTTCTCTTGGTTTTTGCTTTTACTTACATTGAATCTGACAAGCTTTTTATTTAGAATGAACATATGGTGCAATCATGAAAAAAACAATTCCATCGAGCAAGGTCTGCCTAAACCTGATAAAATGTTGGGAGAAATACATTACATGGTTATTTTTCCTTTCTCATTTGCTTAACATCTGTGTCTGTTCATACCAATGTTTATAAATATATATTTTTAATAAATGTGCTATATTTTTAGCATGAACCAAATATTTGGAGACACTTGTATTCATGCAGCTAAATTTTGTTTGATGAAGTGCCCCTTTTGACAATGGATGTTATTTTTCTCGGCAATTATACAGCAGTCTTGTTTGCAGCCCTCTCACTGAGGTCTGAAGCAAGCTCACATCATGCTCACATGCATGACTTGAAGTTGGAATGTCAGCTGAAAAGCATTGCTGCTTAATATGGGAAATAGCAAAACATTTTAAGGTGACCTTTGGAGACTGGTTGCAGAAAGAAGGCTCTATTTATAGTTAAAAAATGAAAAAGCAAATGAAAGCAATACTGAAGCATCTCACAAAATATTGCAAAATTCATAGAATTTATGGCTTTCAGAATCTGGTCACACTCTCTAAGTACTTGTGCTGAGAAAAGTGAGCAGAGTTTTATACAGTTGGAAAGAGAAATTTATAGAGCCTATAGCGAGGGGCTTGAGTGAAATCCAAACTGTAAATATGGGGTGTATTTTAAATGTGAGGATCATTAACCCTTTATGCTTCTCTGATATGTGCTTTAACTGAGACGGTGCAGTGAAATTCTCTGACTTGTGTTTTTGACAGGAATGTACAATGATGATGATGATCACCATTTTTCTTCAGAGTTCAGTACCTATAAATATATGAAGCATTAAAAAAATGAGACCTCAATTCTGCCTCAAGCTGCCTAAGTACATTGCCCACTAACTCTGATATAGCCTCTTAAAAAATAGGTCAATTAATTGTTTACTGACTTGTGGTTTGGATTTTGTCCTCAGATGCACAAGGAGGATTGGTACTGAAGCCAGCTAGAACTGTGAAAATTTTGACCCTAGAGTCTCATTAATTTTAGTGATCAGACCTGTCCCTCTGGAATCAATAATGAGTTTTTCACCATTTTCCAGGGTCTAGGAATGATCTCAGAATTACAGAATTTCAATGAAGGATATAAAAGAAAGCCTGGAAAATCCTGAGGGGCACCTCTTATAAACAGAGGTGTTGAGTCTCTTATGGTATCATAGAGTCAATAACAAAACCATTAAGAGTAGAAAAAAGGTCAGGAAACAAATTACAATGAAACCCGATACGAAGACTGAAGGAAAGCAGAGCAAAAATAATCTTACGTTAATGAAAACATGACAGGGTGAGAGAGGTGAGAAAATGAGCAGAGATTTAAAGTAGAAAACAGAACAGAAAGCCAGTGCCATGCATGCCAGCATGGCTGAGGAAACATTTGTGTTTGCACAGTGCTGGTAGAGCAGCAGGTCTCAGAGAAGACAAGAAACAGTGGTGCAGGAAAGTGTAGCTCAGTGAAGGAGATCTTGTTTTTAAATTTATAGTTATTTATTGATAATTCTAAGGAATCGGTAAACTCTGCTTTTTGATCATCCTGATGGCTAAAATGTATTTTACTCCACTAGGCATTTTTTCTTCTGTTAAAACTACTGCTGCTCACAGCCTGTGGCTTTGAGCACCTGCACACGCTCCAGGCACCAGTCTAACTTCAGCCAGGATCTTTTCTGCAGATATTTCTCTTGAAGCTCTTCTCCTCCTTTTCCAGCAAACACCACAGCAATCTGCCGGAGGCTCATGCTCATCTTCCAGAGGGGCAGCCTCTGAGCCAAAAGATGAAGTCTCATGCCAGATATTTCTTTGCCTCCCTCTGCATCAAGAGGTAATACCTGTCATCTTCTTGTGGGCATGAAGATACTTGACAAATCAAATTTCATGAGGGGTTCTACTATTGTTACAAATTAAAGCTCTGCATTGGAAAACAGCAGAAGACACCTCACCCACTAAAGTAAAGCAGTACTTCTGCTGCTCAGCACAGTTGCACTTATTCAGACATGGGCCAGCACCTTCAAGACAGGTACAGCCAATAGCCCAAATAAGCTGAAATGGTGGAGCAAGAGCCTAAGGATTCCATGTTTTGTCTGCTGTGCTTTGCCTGTTAGTCTTGATGTAGGCAGTGTTCTCAGGTGGACTATTATCCCCCACCACAGCAGCTGTGTCCAGTGTGCTTTGCCACAGGACTTTTACCCCTCTGAAAGAGGAAGAAAGGTTTATCCTATTCCACAAGAAGTTTAACATTTAATATTTTAATTTTACAGGTTTCTGTTCACAGATAGTTCTAGAAATATCCTGGAGCAATTTCTTCTTAAGTAGATTCATTAAGTATTCATTTAAAGAAAAGTGAAGAGTTTCCTTTGAGGGCAATTTCTTTACCTTTTATTTGGTACTCATGAGCGCTGGTAGGGGAAAAGTATGTTTTCAAGAATGACAGTGGAAAAGGAATATTCTATACAAGGATTTGAAGGTGTGCCTACCCAGGCACCTGTGGGCAGGCCTGCTCTTGGCTCAGTGACAGCTGGAGCCAAATTATCCTCAAGCTTTTTTTTATGTGAGCAGTTTTCACATACACCTATAAGAAATATTCAACTAGGTAATATATATGTCATGGATACCTGATAGCCAGTAACTGCTCTATAAACAGTTGAATAAAACTTTTTATTACAAGAATTGAATGGTAAATCTGCTTTGGCAAGGAAATATCCAACAGTCTCATTTTTGGCTTGACTTACATGTAATGCAAACAGTTTCCAAAATAAATTTTAAAAAACGAAGTATCAGTCCATTAGTGGCAGGAACTCTCATCTTTGCATTTGAGTAAAGGAAATTAATATCCAACATCATAATAAGATATTAAAGCATCGCCTTTTGCTTCAGGCAACTAAGAATATGATTACATATCCTATGTAGTTTGATGGTTTGTGTCATGAGAATGAAAAATATTCTCATGAGGTTACAGAAAGATGGCACTGTTGCATTAGTATCTGTTGTGTTGGTTGGTGGATACAGAAGACTTTCAAGAAGGGAGACAATAAAACTGTTTTCCACACAACAGGATCAAGAGAAAGAAAACAGGTTACTGCCCTCCAATCTGGTTCCTACAACGGCATTGTAGGAATCCCATCTTCATACAGGAATGTCTCATCCTGTGTGTTGGCTGTCAGGGCAGTCCTTTCAGTTATGTACCTTCTGCTCCTTCCACCTGCACCTCTGCAGCACTGTGTGGCTCACTGTGCCTGAGGAGAGTTTGAACACAAACCCAGCCTGGCAGCCTCTGAAAGAAGTTGTTTCGTTTTACTGTAGTGTAACAATCTTCTATGGGCCTGAGTTTTATTATTTTAAGGACAGTCAGTAATCATCATCATGTTAATACTCTCTGATAATCTAGGGGATACTTTGTGAATTCCCAGACAAAATCCCACCCCTGCCTTACGGGTAAAATTTTGATTCAGTAGGCATCAAAATACAAAAGAAAGCTTCAGTTACATCACAAACAAACTTCAGTATGAAGCATCGCTTAAGTCCACATGTCTTATATTTCCATTTAATCTATACACTAGAGCTCACCCCAAATGCCCCGAGATCTCACCTGTGTCAAGAGGTCTCATCTCTTCTGAGTTGGAATTACCATTTCAGTGTGAATTATGGCATATGCAGAGAACTTGGCCCATAGAGGGAAAGGATAAAAATTAACTGAATTAAAACACCAGCGATGCAGCACTGCAGAATTTACTAATTCGTTTGAGGTCTAACTGGAGTACTTTGTTTCTGGATAGCCAATATTTTAGAGAAAGGATATTATTTTTCCTTGGAAAGTTTCTGGAAGAAATATGTCTAAGTGAAAGAAAGAACCTAATTGAAAATATTTCAGCAGCAGTCCTCCAAAGAAAATGCTTTCCAGGACCCTGAGTGGCTTCCTTCCCAAGAGAACTGTTTGGCAGCCCAGGAACACAGCACACATACATGTAAACACCTCTTGTTTGCTGAGAGGCTTTGTCTTCTTCGGAACAGAATACACAGATTTACAAATTTATGAAATAGCACATTATGCAACATCAACAACAAAAAAAATCTGTTTACCTTTATTTCCAGCAGATACACTACAGACACCCTGCAGAACCTGCACTGTTTCCATACCTGGCTGTGTGTTTTGGAGGCTCATCCCAGAAGGTCTAATAAAGCCAGTGTAGCTTTCTTTCCCTACTGCTGATCCAAGAGAAACAAAACCTATTCAGTGTGGAAGCCTCCACACCAGACTGAAATCCCACATGCTTCCATATGCATTTATCTGCATATGAACCATCTGGTATCCAATAAGACTTTCCTTGTCTCAGGCATTAGGTTTGCTTATCTGCATTTCACCTGGGGACTCAGACGATGAAAGGCAATTTGTAGAGCTGAAAGCACCCAACTGTTTCCAATGATCCAGCTTTACATAATGGAGCTGTCACCTGGAGAACGCCTGTTGACGTGCATGGCACTTGCATGGCACCACACACCATCCTCCTTGTGTGGTCTCACACTGACACATCCTCTGTGACACCCAGGGGATGGGGCTGGGCTGTAACTGGCCCACACAGCCAAAAAGTGTGCAAGAGAAAGTGTTCTTGCAAAAGCCTGGATCGCAAGTCAAGCTCTGAAGAGTGAAAGGACATCCTGCCTTGTTCATAGAAAGGAACTTAGGTATGCCCACTGGGATCCCTTCTTCTGCAACCAGTCCCAGTTCAGCTGAAAGTGACCCATGCACCACCCTGAGCCTCTTGTGGCAGCTGCAGAACCTTCTTCCCCCTGAGAGAAGTAGGCAGCACTGGGCTTTCCTAATCTCCTAGAAAAGGGAACCATGTCACACTTGCATGGCAGAAATAGCAGCAGGAGCATCCATTTCTGACTGACAACAACAAGGCCACCTGCCTAGGGATGGATACCCCTTTTCTCATCCATCATTCCTCATGATCTGGGAAATTCAAGTTATTTGCCTGGACTCCAGGTTCTTCTCCACACTCAGTCACCATTTAGACTGAGGCAGACTTTCATGATGCTGAGACTTTGTTAAACTCAAATGGCTCCTGAAGACAAGTTTTCAGGAGCATATTAAATGTCATGATACCTTAATCTGGCCTTGATATCATGAAGGTGTCACCATAACAAGCCTTGGGCATTGTC